TAACAGTTATAATTTATTAAAAATTAATAATTAATTAATAAGTGTGACCCAATAAAATATAACTGATAGATTTACTAAATCAAGGTTAAGTTTTGGTGCCAATCTATGTATCAAGAGATTCTGACTCTATATAAATATAGGGAAAAATTATATTTATAAATTTTTTGTTTACAAACTATACTAAGTATGACCGGTCATACTTCAATCAAGAGTGTATGACCAGTTTATATTTAGTGTAATTTGTAAATGGATCATTCCTCATATATATATATATATATATATATAGGGCTTATCATTTCTCAAGCTGCGGGAGATAAAGTTATCTCCGACTGTTAAATCATAACCGTATAAAGATGGATCAATGGTGATAAAGGAAAAGAGAGAAAAGGAAAATCATAATCATTCAAAGGTGAATCAATACATATAAGAAAATAAATAATCAAAACGACGTAGTTTTGGGGTTGCTGGAGATAAATTTATCTCAAGCAGCTTGAGAAATTTTTTTCCCATATATATATATATATATATATATATGGGTCAGGATCATTTTACACCAGTGTAAATCACACTTTTAATCTTGTCCGTTATTTTCTCTTATATATATATATATATTTATTTATTAAAATGCATTTAAAAAAAAAGTCCTCTCTTTTTTTTAGACAACTCCCTTATTCTTTTAAGGGTTTTATAAGAGTTATGTTGTAGGAAAAGTGATTGTGTAATGTTATAGAGATTTGTTTTGCGTGTCATAATTTCTTTTTTTCTTTTTTCTTCAAAAAGTATAGGCCCCACAAAATGTCATGTGTGTAGGCAAATTTATTGTGTCATGTTATATGACAAGTGTAAACTCCTTCTTTTATTTTTTATTTTTGATAGACTAAACCCCTTCTTTTAAATTACAAAGCGTTATGCTCTCGGAAATAGTGCAGGATAATTATTTATCGTTCGCCGACACACATTTGGTGCAATGTGTTACTGTTTGACAAGGGAACTGGGAAAATGACAAGCTGCTGGAACTTTGAAGTTCAGAGAAAATATCCACCTTTAAAGCTTATATGGGACCCATATTTTCCAACGATCTAATGGCTTCGAGGGAATTTTTCTCCCCTCCGTGAGCATAAAATAATTTTGCTGTTTTGTACTGTTGTTTGCTGGTCTTATATTATTTGATTCTATCTGTACTTAGCTGGACCTTACGTGCTATGGTTATCCTTTGTGTTTATTTTGTTCGGATAAAACAGATAAGGGTCATTCCACAACGAATTACATCCAAATATAAAAGCATGTAAAAATGTCTGAAGATGCCCCATGCAATCATTCAACAGCTTATGACAGTTTTAAGTTTTGATTTAAATTTTTATTTATACTGACTTTAATTATCTCTTTAAGATGAATCGATTTCGGGATACTTAATTACAGATTCACATTTAAATCCGTTTACCTCCTCTATTTGGAAAAAAAATTGAACTTAGATTCTATCCCCACTTATTCAGTGTTTATTGTCAACTGAGCTATATCCGTGGAATAACTTCTCTTTTTTTCTTTTTCTTTTTATATCCAGGTAACTTCTCTTTTAATTACTAACTTACTTTACATCCGTATAATATATAAGTTAAGCATTTATTTTAAATAATTGATCTATAACGAGTAAATATATCCAAGTGTAACTTATACATGATATTTAATTAATTAAATATTAATGCTCCTACATGTAAAGTTTTAATCTTCTTGTTATGCAAATATTCTTTTAATAATTTATATTTTAATACATCTTCATATGAAGTTTTCATTTTTGTGTTATTGATGCACATATTTACTTTCATGACTTAAATATAATACAATAAGATTAAGAAATTTTATTTTCCCTCTTAGTCATTGATTATTATCCATCTAACGACCGTAATTTATTTGAAATAAATAAATAATTAATTAATATAATTTTATAAACTATAGGTATTAGATGACCAGAATTAACGGCTGAAATAGAGTAAGACTTTTTAGCCTTAAATTGTAATCAAAAGATCCCTCTTTAGTAACTATAACTTTAGTAACTACTTGTTGGTTTTTGTGGAAGTGGAGAAATTTGGAGATCCATGAAGATCATTTCTGTCATGATGAGCAATCACATGCTTCAATTTGGATGTTTGTCCAATAGATTCTGCAAGCCCGAATTTATCAGCGCAGTGGTGATTCCAACGATAGCGTTTGGACAGCCCCCAAGCAAGGGTGGGTTAAGTTGAATTGTGATGGAGCTTCTTCTAGTGGCATGAAAAAAGCTAGTTGTGGTGGTATATTAAGAGATCACAATGGATCCTTTTTGGGAAGCTTCTATTGTAATTTAGGTTCCTGCAATCCTCTTGATGCAGAATTATGGGGATTACTGAAAGGTTTGGAACTGCTTTGGGAAACAGGATTAAAAAGAATAGAGCTAGAATGTGATTCTAGCCAAGCCATCCAGATGTTAAAGGAGCAGCATGAAGATCCTAGGGACTCTCAAGTCACTAGCAGATTGAGATTATGGTTAAAAGCAGATTGGACTATTCATCTTGTTCATACCAAGAGAGAAAACAACAAATGTGCTCATTGGTTAGCTAAAGCTGGGCAGACTAATAATCTCCATTTCAAGATTTTTAAAGATCCTCCTCCTCAGTTGATGGCACTTATAGTTGCTGATGCTAGAAATATGTCTAGCTTGTTAGTTTCTGATTTGTAATTTCTTTCTGTTTCTGGGGCTTAGCCCCTCTTTATTTACAAAAAAAAAAAGATCCCTCTTTAGTAACTATAACTTTTGTATCATTAATTATAAAAAGAGTTTTAATATGTTATATATATATATATATATATATATATATATATATATATATATAATCTTTAAATTTGGTTGATTATATATAAAATTGAGAAGAAAAAATATTGTTAAAATTTTTAGAGAAAAAAGAAAAAGAAAAAGAGAGTTTATCTCAATGTTGTTAAAACCGACCCGGTCATTGACCCGGTCGAGGTACTAGGGATGGCAAAAACGAGCCAACCCGTCGGGTTGGCTCGCAACCCGTCCTAAATGAGTCGGGTTGGGTAGGCCTAAATGAGCTGCCAACCCGACTCAACCCGAACCGATTCAACCCAGACCCAAACGAGCCAGCCTGCGGGTCAAACGGGCCAGCTCGCGAGTTGGGTATTTTGTTTTTAATTAAAAATAAATAAATAAAAGAATATGATTGTATTAAAAAATAATAATAATAAGAAAGATGAAAGCTTACATTTTGAACTTATAAATAATTAGCTTTTCCAATTAGAAACTTATAAATTTTATTAAGAATAGGGTAGCATTTTGGTCCATTTGTATGTTTATTGCTGTCAAGTATTTTTTTTTGCATTTTTTTTTACCGTTTGATTTTATTTAGCTTAATTTTGATCAGTGGAAGATGAAAGCTTACATTTTGAACTTTAAACTTGTTTAGTACAAGTCCATAAATAAGACTAGTTCCACAAAAATCAATTTTTTTGAGCCAACTCGCGAGCCAACCCACTGGCATCATTTCGAGCTAATCCGCGAGCTTTTTTTGAGCCAACCCGCGCGCTTTTTTCCGAGCCAACCCGCGAGCTGATTATCGAGCCAACCCTAACCCGGCTCGGGTCGGGCTGGGTTAAGTTTTCTGGCTCGTTTATTTTTTCGGGCCAACCCTAACCCAACCCGTTTTTTACGGGTTGAATGTGGGTTGGGCCGGGTCGAGCCGGGTTGGCCCGTTTTGCCAACCCTACGAGGTACTGGGTCACTGGGTCAACCGCATGACCCGGTAATTATATGCAATTTTATAATTTATATTAAAAAATTATAAACATACTCAAATATCTAAGTAAAAATGACAAAAAAATTCAAATATTTTAATATAAAAATAATAAATCACATATTATTATATAATAAAGGATCAAACAAAAATATAATGATCGTGATACGAGACTTTAGGTTCAGAAAATGACATCTCTAACTATAAATCAAATCAAAATTTTCTGCATAATGCATAATTGAGATAATAGTAGTGTTGTAGGTACATAACTTATGTAAGTTAATAAGTAAAAAATATATTTAAATATGTCCATTATGATTTATTTATTTTTGAAAAAGAAATTGGAATTTTTTTTTTGGACCGGGCTGGGTCATCGGTTAACCCATCGGGTCACCGGATTTCATGAAAATCGACCAGGTCGCACCGGTTCTAATGCATGGTCGGTCCGTTGCTTGAACCGGACCAATTATATGACCGATTTACCAGTTCTCAAGTCGACCCAACCGGGTGAGTTCGGTTTTCATAACAACATCGCCATCGAGCTTGTACCATTTTGGGGACAGATTTATAAAGAAAAATATTAATTATTTTATAAAATGATATATTATTGTATAATAAAATAAAAAATAAATATCTTTGTAATTATTGATATAACGATAAAAGGAATACAAATCACAAACAACAATTTATAATTTTATTTGTGATTAGTTTAAAAATATATATTAGACAATAAGAATTTTGTATTTATCATTTTATCGTACTAGTATAGCAGTTTATTATGCCATTTTCATTTTGAGTTTCAAAAGTTAAATAAAATAAAAAATAATGATATTCAGAATTTGAATTTATATTTTTGGATGAAAATATATAAGATTCAAACATATATTTTGTCCATTATATAAAAAACATATTAATTCTGACATGAAATTTTAATTGAATTCTTACTATAAAAAACATATTCTTAATGAAATGCTTGTTTTATTGGGGTTATTTTTTGTTATCATAGAAACATCTTTTCAAATTTAACAATTTAAAGGTCTAATATATTCATTCATAGATATTTGTATTGATATAAAATGGGAAATTAGAATTTCGACCAGTAAGAATTTTCCAAGCTCAAGAAGTATATAAAACTAAATGATGCGAGTTTTAAAAATATATTCATGCCCCTTTTTACTAATCTTAGACATGATTTTAATTATTTTAATACAGACATCATGTTAAAAACACGTATAGTGGATATATAATCCTACTTAGAAAAATATAGTTGCGTTTCTGCCGAATTCTACTATCGGAAGTTCATACCAAATCAGGATGACACTTTTCAATACAACAAATACTAATTGTTGCAAAGTAATATCTAATATGGGTCTCCACGTACAGTAATTAATGAGATGCCACAATTGGAACTATGGCACTCTCTGGAGCTCTTAAAAATAGAATTGCAATTAGTACTGCACTTGTTTCAAACGTACACTAATATAGCCTATTGTTTCGAGATCGATAGTCTCAGGTTTTTCACCAGTTCATCCACTGTCATGTTGTATCCATCACCCATCTGCAGTATAACATATACATAGCAAGTCAGAATCTTATATTACCTATGCTTTACATGCATGAATGTATATTAATTAGTAAAACGATTTGGCTAGTGATGGTAGTATTATGAATAAATTACATTGACGTACTACTTGCATATTTTATGAAGATGGATGGAATTAAAATTTTAATTCTAGGGAAGTTGAGATTAAAGACTAAATGGATATACGTTTTTAAATATTTAAGTAAAAGAAAATTTAATTAACATACAATCTTATTAATACAAAATGAAATATACTCAGTTTATAACCAACATACTATAAATTAAAAATATTCATGGTCAATTCAATTAAAAATAAGACAATTATAAAAATAATACTTCACTTTAAAAGCTGTGCTTGATGTTATTCATGGGATAAAAGTCATCTATCATATTAGTAAAAATCTTTTCAGCTATTCACCAAAAAAAAACTTTTCAGCTTACTGCATTTTATGTTAATTTTCATTAATTAACTTTTCTTTATGCAAAAATTAGTATGAACTTTTATTTTCTTAAGATGGCCACATATATATATAGGTAACCACACACTTATACAATTGATATATATATATATATATATATATATATATATATTATATATTATATATATATTATGCCTACCTTTTTTCATGCCTACTCTACCTAGCTACTCATTTTCAACATCGTATGTTAGATTAGAATATCAACTAATATTCACCCTTTCTCTATCTTATTGACATTCTAATCAACGGTGTTAGAGGTGAGTAGGTATGTATACAAAAAAAAAAAAAAAAAAGAGCAGGCAACGAAAAAAATTAGACATATAATATCCTATCCCTATTTATATATATATATATATATATATATAATAATAATAATAATAAAAGAAAATGTGAAAGTTAATTTTGAATATTATGTGGTGTGTTAATTTGTTAACAAAAGTACATGCATTTTAAAAATAAACAAATGAAAAATATATAAGATTCAGAACAAAAAGATCACCAAGGCAATAATTCATTTGAGTTTTAAATCTTAAGATAGAGGACAATATAATTTATATTTAATATCAATCAATGATTTTGGATTGAGTTGAAGTATTGGTATCTTAGTATTCCTTTATAAAATGCAAAACAAAAGTACATTCATTTTTTTTAAAAAAATAAATAAAAATATATAAGATTTAAAATAAGAAGATCACCAAGGTAATAATTTATATTAAATCTAAAATCTTAAGAGAAGACAATATAATCTATATTTTAATATCGATGAAAATGATTTTTGATTGACTAATTAAAGTATAGATCGATTGGTCGTATATTTCTTATAATTTGTAGATTGATATTATATTAAGAGTTGTGTACCTGAGCAATAATGGTGATGTCGAGAGTGGATTTCCCAAATGGCAAGACACTGCTGTTTTGTACTGAGAGATGAAGAATTTGAAGCTGGGATAGTATTTTGTTCATAATTCCCTTTTGTTTCTCACAATGGATTATGACGAGTACTTCCTTCTGTAATACTCTAGCTTTAACCTCGGGAAGAATATCATTCGGTCCATAATAATCACCAGAGTTCACTTCGCAAGAGGTGGTGCCTTTGTCGCTACAAATGTGGGATTCAATTTCTTGTTCTAACTCTCTCACACGTTGTTGAAGTTGTTTCACGTAGTTGCTAGCTCTGTCCAGGATAGAAGTATTGTCCATCTACCATGATATATAGAAAAAGCTTTTGATTTTCACATATAAAACAATATAATATAGAACCTTTTATTATTTATTTTTTTACGTTTTTCTCTTTATCTGGGTTTTGTAATCTTCACAATCAAAATATGAAGACCAATTCACTAATGATATTGCCCATCGTATTATAAAAACGAAATTCATATAAGAATGTATCAAATAAATGATAAGTTCTATCTATATGTTACAAATATCTAAAAAGTATAAATATAAATAAGAAAATCTATCTTCGTAGAAATTAAATATGTTAAAACCCGTAAGATCTTAACCTGCACGTGAACATGAATTACTTTTTCGGAAGATGGAAAATCTCCTAGTTGTTATTCAAATGATGTGATTTTAGTCAATAAGAGTTAAGTGATAATTAAGATGGAATCACGTCAACATAAGGATATTAGATTCAGTTCCAACTTGTAATAACTCAATATTAGTACACATTCATTAGTTGCAGTGCATCACCTTACTCGTGGATCTACCTATCCAAATCTTAAAGTTTTTATCAACAAATAATTGATGACTTTTAAAATATTAAAGATGCATGGAAAACAAAAAATTAATTTGATCTTTAAACTTTGAAATCAAGTCAAATTTAATGTTCAAATTTGGAGGACTTTTCTACCCTAGGTCTAAGAAGTTGCAATGAGTGATGTTGATAAATAGACCAAAGCTTAAAGTAAATGATATATATCTTTCAATTAATGATAATTTTTAATTATATATCTTTATTTTTCGAAAGATTTCTCAAACAATACCATATTAATTCTATATGGACATTAGTACATTACTATAAGAATTAACGACGTTATTTACACGCTAACTTTATTATATTATTTCTATAATTAAATATATAAATATTTTAAAATATATATATATATATATATATATATATATATATATATATAATGTAACAATTATAGTATGCAAATGATAAAGTTATGAATTCTAGGTGTACTTTATTTACCATACAAAGACTTCGAATCTCGTAAAAAAAACGCATGTGGTCGTGCCCCCCCTTATTCAGCTCTCAAACAGAAATTAGTTAAAAAAAATGTAAAGAAATTTGAGGGAAAAAAAAGGACTGAATGACATTGACTTGACTTTTCATTGGTGCCTTTGCTTAAATTACACTCTTAAGTCTTAAATCTTATTATTGTCAAGAAGAAACCATATTAATCTCTATCGATTCCTTCAATTTAAGTCTTTTCGAATGCATAATCTTATTATGGTTAATTGATGTATAAGTACTATTTCCTTAAATGAACAGGTGAAGGAGATCGATATAATTTCACAAGTAAAAGATTAGTACAATTAAGGCATCATGAGAGGGACATACAGAGTAATAATTGAATTACTTTGGGAAGAAATCAAGAAAAGAAAAGCAATTTCATTGTCTACTTTTGAATAATAATAATAACATGCAAATTAAAGAAATTAATAATTTGAGTACTGTGTTAATTAGCTAACCTTCTTCTTCAAGCCAGGTATGGTGGCTGAAAGTGCAAGCAACCTTTCAGTGAGTTCCCGCCGTCTCCCGTTTCTGTCGGTGTCGCCAATCATGGGATCTACAGTTTCAGCAAAATAATGATTCTCATCATCATCACCAAGGAACTCTTCATCATCAAAACATAAATCGTTATAATCATGATCACCCACTTCCTATACAATAACAACACATGAAAAAACACACAGTTAGGTGTACTATAATCAAAACACATCATATTATATAATTCATATATAATCATATGTTTGTTTTTACCAAATTAGAATCAGAAGGCCAATTTTCCCCTGACTCCTCCATTAATTGACGAGTATAACCCAGTTTTGGAATAAAATACTATATAAAATGATATAATATATGGTTAATTTGTGCAAAGGAGATAAGGTTGTGTGATGAATTATAAGAAAGGGGGGGGGGAGTATATTATAAGAACTTTGTGTAAAATAGAGAGAGAGAGAGAAAGAAACTCGATCTGGGGTTCTAGAGTGAGAAGCAGAGATGAGTGTGTGAGATGTGGAGTGTATAAGAGTGTATAACATGCACTACATCAACCTATAATAACCAAGAGTCAAGGTAGAAGGCATTGACAACTAGTGACTGATACAGTCTTATTTTACTCGCTAAACATGCAACTTGCATCTCCGCCGTTCAATCATTTGTTTTGCACGTGTCAATCATCGAGCCACGATGTGGGAGGGATTGGGAAGTGAGAGCGTGGTCCGCGTGTTCCATGTTGTACAGTACTCAAATTTATTAAATAACAAATGCAAGTTAGGCCAGGAGAGAGAGAGAGAGAGAGAGATTTTTTTATTTTGGTCACTTTGGTATCACATTTACCAACTAGTCATGGCACGTACATGTAGTGACGTGATGGACGAAATTATGATTATAACGTGTATTCTTATCAACCTTACAAAAATCGGATCGATTGAAAAATTGATAAATCGGTTATATAATTAGTTTGATTTTTATATTGAACTGGTCATATAATGAAATGGTGTGATCCAGCTAATTTTTATAAAAATTGGTGACCTCGGTTGGTTCAATTAGTGATCTGGCCAAGTTCATAAAAAATAATAATTTATTCTCATCAATTGATATCTTTCTTTTTTTCACTTTCATACACAAATGATTTATTTATTTTTTAGAATATTTGAGTGATATGTTGTTTATTGAGTTATACAGGTTATGTACTTACAACACTAATTACTAACTTGGTTATTCAATATGCATCGAATTTTGATTTGATTTATAGTTAGAGATGTCTTCTATTGAATTTGAACCACCAATATCACAAGTATTATATATATGTTTGATTGATCTTTTATTGAACAATGATGTGTAATTTATTATTTTTTATATTAAAATATTTGAAATTTGTATCATTTTTTACATGTATTTGAGTATATTTATAATTTTTTAATATAAATTATAAATTTACATATACTTATTAGGTCATGAGATTGAACCAATGACCCAGTTATTCAGTACCTCAATCAGGTAATAATCCAGGATAGAGAAAAGAGAAGAAGGTGAGAGAAAAAAGTTGCAATTGGACCAACCATTTTTTGTTTCCGCAGGTAGAGGAGTAACTTCTCGTACAACAGGAAAAATTATTATCACTATAATTATTTATAGGATCTATTAATCTCATGTTGCATAAGATAATTATCACACGCAATAGAGATAAGATAGTGGGGTCTATCATTTATAAAAAAAATAAAAATAATATGGACCCCACTATTTTGTCTCTGTTGCATGAGATAATTATTTCTCATTATTTATATAATAAAAAAATACAAATATGCTTGCATTTAAAAACGTATATAATTTTAAGAAGGATGACAAAATTGCAACTACAACTATTTTATACAATAAAAAAATATAGATAATAATCATAATTAAATGCTTCAATAAACTAAGCCTTGTTCCAACCAATGATATGGATAAAAAGTTTGAAGTTTTAAAGCAATTTACCAAATAGAAGCAAAAATTAATGATGTTGTAGATCTGAAATCTGAATGAGAATGAGAGCAAGACCAAAAACCATGATCCACCGAACACCAACTAGAGTGACAGTTGGCCACATGTCTTACCTACTAGTCCCATGTAGGCCAGGGGGACTTCCCTTTCAGTGTATGTTAACCTGTCAAATTACTCTGTTAAGTGTATAAAAAATTCTCGCATTTTGCAAAAATAACGTTGTAACATTAAAGTTTTAGCTGACGAAAGAAAAGAGCAACTAACATTCAACAAAGAGCAACTAACATTCATCAAGTTTTTAGCAAAAAAAAGATGCAGTTCGCAGGCATGCACATTTAGCAAAATATAGATGGAGTAATGTGGGGCCTATTCGAGAAAGGACCCTGTGTCATTTTATGTCTTCACACATGGAATTTATGTGTACCATCTCTCTCCACAATCAAACCATTCGCTTCTCTAAAATCAATGCAATCTAGTAAAAAGTTTGGTCTGAGTTATAAAATAAAATGTAATTAAATTTAATATCATTAGAGATTGCTTATAATTTTTTTAAAAGGACTATTAGCAAAAAGTATTTTTTTTTTTTTTATAATTTGAAATTTAAAATACATACAGCATATATAAATAAAAAGAGATTATATTTACAACCTCTTATCATTATTTTCGTTATTGTTAAATTAAAATCAAATCGACAATTATAAAATAACAACGAATAAAATTCGTTAATTTAATTTTGTATAACAAATTAGTTATAACAAATTTTTTTTATAAATATAGCCAACCTTAAATAAATATATATGACAAAGATATGAACCATTAAATATAAATATAAGATAAATATAAAGAGAGAAAAAACTTAAGATAACATATAAGATAAAACTTGCAAATAAAAATATTATTTTATATATAAGATTAGATTAGACTTAAAAACGGATGGATAATCTCCTTCACAATTTTTACTTTATCAGGAATGTTGCAATTTTCTACGACAAACTTTTGAGCCACAGATTAATTATAGAATCCGTAGAAAAGTCATTGATATTGACCATTAATAATCCAATCAAATATTTTAGACGTCATAATTAATAATCCAATCATAGATGCTAGCTAGCTCATCGTCGTTGCAAACTGTTGTAAGTCATCCCTTATACGCAAGCTTTTTTGTATAAGATTGATTTTCCCACAATTAGTAAAATAATAAGGCCTGGGAAAATTTTTTGCCCTCTTCTAAACTCGTTCTTCCCTTTAGGAAAATCTTGAACAAACACGCAACTCGATCCTTACGAAAGAACCTATCATATAGAAGATCCATTTTTAACGATTCCGGAGTCTTAAGTTTGCAAAAATCTAATTAAGAGCAAATTAAGTCCTATTCAGAGTTGACTGAATCCATGCCATTTTATGAATGAAATTTAAAACTTGTTTGATCTGAAATATAAAAGTATTTATTTATAAACCTTTATCTAATAATTTAAAATTTTGAAATAATTAGTTATTTGTCATGATATTACAACCTTAGTAATTAAGAGATCCAAAATTTAATCCCTACCGCTTCATTACTCTAATAGTACTCTAATAAATATTATAGAATTTCTTAATTAATTAGACTTTATGTATTTTTCATACTTTTTTTTTTATAAACTTATTCATACTTTAAACTCAATAGAGTACTATTGCGTGAACATATAATCATTCATCTATTTTTATCTAACATTTTAAGCTTTTAGAATAATTTTTTGCTTTGATATGACCCAGAAGATAATATTGTTTTATTATATTATTCAGCGTGTGTCATATATGCTATTTTTAATAACTCTATAAATAATAAAAATGATAGTACACAGTTCATATTTGGCGAAACATACTAAATAATGCAGTATAGAGAGATTTTTAAATTAATAACTATTACGCATCCTCACTTAAATATAAAACAATTATACCACATATATAAAGATATATGAAAGAATACTACTCACCCAAATAAAGATCAAAGATCATAAAGTGAAAACGAAATGACGAAAAAAAGAAAAAAAGAAAGAAAATGAAACATCAGATATGAGAAATAAAAGTTGAGGAAAGAGGAAGAGCAATTATTAATTAAAGGAAAAATTTCAAAAACCTCCCTTTCCTCATCATTATTTATTCTCCTCCCCAAAAATTTTAATCATTTACACCCCTACTTAAATTTTTTTTATCATTTACCCCCTAACTTGATTTTCCATTCAAAGTTAAAGTTAACAGAGTTAATCTTTTTAAAAAATATCAAAACTACCCTTTTAAAAAAAGAATTAACCCCTACACTTAAAATCACCTAATGCTATTTTATTAAACTCACCTCATGCTATTTCATCAAACTCACATTATGCTATTCCAAATAATTAACGTAGAAATTAAAATCTTACATACTGAAGTGAAGGTCATTTTTGTCAGTTAGAAAGTGTACATCAATCTAAATGTTCATGGGTAAATGTAGATCCAACGTTTTTTTTTTTTTTTTGGACATTACAAGGAATCGAACCGCACACTTAATACACACTAAACGCACCCAACACCACTAGGCTATCTCTAGTGGTGCATGTAGATCCAACGTTAATTATATAGATCCTAACGCTTACAAAAGATACAAGCATAAGAAGCTTCACATATAGCTACAAAGCTATATGCAAAGTATTTGTGAATCTACTGTTCCATTACATTCTTTGAAGTACCCTTTCCAACTAACAAAAATGAACTTCACTTCAGTATGTAAGATTTTAATTTCAACGTTAATTATTTTGAATAGCATGATGTGAGTTTGATGAAATATCATTAGGTGATTTTAAGTGCAGAGGTTAATTCCTGTTTTTAAGGGTAGTTTTGGAGTTTTTTTAAAAAGATTAACTCTGTTAACTTTAACTTTGGATGGAAAATCAAATTAGGGGGTAAGTGATAAAAAAATTTAAGTAGGGGTGTAAATGATTAAAATTTTTGGGAGGGGGTAAGTGATTATGAGAAAACTTATAGGGAGTTTTTGAAATTTTCCCTTAATTAAAACGATCAATAAAAATGGAAATGATTTTTTCACTGTACTTGTTTTTGATACTCAGGCGAAAAGAAAAGACAGAACAAGCAGACTAGCTTCTATCTATCTATGCTAATTTTCTAATATGTGTCAGGATCACTGTGGTCTTTTCATTCAAAAATTGACATCTGTATTAATTTTTTCTCTCTCTTTTCTCCTCAACATTTTATCTCTTTCTTTCACTTCAGTCTCATCTATTTTTTTTTTTTGTTGCTCCCGGACCACAGTATCTTCGCTCCTATCTTTGTGAGGGGAATTTTAGTGATCCAGGTGGTCCCCTCTGCAAATTGGAATTTTTTTTTCTTTTTACTTTCTTATTTATTTATATTTTTATTTATGTCCTATTTTTTTAAATGAGATTACCAAATTTTAATGGTTCCGAGCACTTAAAGGACTACTCCTACTATATCTCTCTTTAACAGTGTAGGAAAATTATGTTGTACCAACATGAAACAGACATTACACTCTGACATGTTAATTCTAAAAAATATCATGATATGTTATCAAAAA